GGGCTGGCAGACAGGCAGGTATATGCATGCCCACCGTGCCCAGCTTGTTTTCTTTTTTAAATATTTTGTTTTTATTTTTTATACGTATGAGTGTATTGCTTGCATGTATATAAGTACACCTGTATGATGCCCACGGAGGTCAGAAGAGGGTGTTGGATCCCCTGGAACTGGAATCAGACTGTTGTTAGCCACCATGTGGATGCTAGCAACCGAACCCAAGAGCCTTGCATGTTCTAGACAGGTGCTCTCTGACTGAGCTGCTTCAAGGACCAATTAATCTGGGAGTCTTTATTTTTTTTTGTCTTTTTGAGACAGGGTCTCCCTGCAGCTCCAGCTAACCTAGAAGTCTCTATATAGACCAGGCTGACCTTGAACTCACAGAGATCGACTGCCTCTGCCTCCAGAATTCTGGGATTAAAGGCATGCGCCACCATGCCTGATCTAATCTGGGAGTCTTTAAAAAGTTTCTTTATTTGAGCCAGGCAAGGTAGTACTTGCCTTTAATCCCAGCAGTCGGAGGCAGGCAGATCTCTGTGAGACAGGGCAAGCCTGGTCGACATAGTAAGTTCTAGGACAGCTGGGGCTGCAGGGCTGTCTCAAAAAGACAAAAAATAATAATAATAATAATAATAAATAAATAAATAAAATATTTTTTAAAAGGAAGCCTCTCTCCCCCAATTTTTTTTTACGTTTTATTTATAATTTTTATTTTATGTGTATTGAGTCTCTTGTCTGCTTGTGTCTAAGTGCACCTGTGTCATGCAGTGCCTGTGGAGGTCAGAAGAGGGTGTCCGATCCTCTGAAACTGGAATTACAGATGGTTGTCAGCTGCCATGTGGCTGCTGATACTTGAATCTGGGATCTCTGGAAAAGCAGCCAGTGTTCTTAACCACTGAGCCATCTCTCCAGCCCCTTAATTATTTTTTTGTGTGTGTATGAGTGTTTTGTGTGCATATATATAAATGCACCCATTTATGCAATGCCCTCATAGGCCAGAAGAAGGTGTTGGACCATGGACAGTTGTTAGCCTCCCATGTGTGTACTGGGAACCAAACCCTGGACTCCTAAAGAGTAACCAGTGCTCCTAACCACTGAGCCATCTCTCCAGCCCAATCTGGGAGACTTGTAAGAAAATAGTAGCAAATATTTGGCACTCTGTATCTTTCCTTCATTGATTAAACTAATACTTTATGTAGCTAGTAAAAGCCAGTGCTATTCTAGAAGCTGGTGATATAATCAGAGCATTGCCCTGTGAAGCTTAGTTCTACTGTGAGACACAGCAAGCAATTAGGTATCTAATATAATGGTGGAGTATATCACAAAGAAAAATCAGACCAAACAGTGTAAGTGAGGAGTGCTAGGCTAGTAGTTGGGGAAATTGTGACTAGTAGGTCATCAGGGAGCATAAACCTAGACCTGAAAAAGATGTACGAAAGTAGAGGGAGCATAGTCCAGACCGTGGGACCAGGAAGTGCCAAGGATCTGAAGCAGGAACATGGCTGGAGTATTCAGAGAATAACCAGAATGGCTAGTGAGGTCAGGACAGGGTAAAGGAGGGAAAGATGCCCATGACAAGTTGATCTGATCCTTCAGGGCTTGTGGAATAAAGTAATTTTAAAATTTTGGGCAGAGGAACTTATCTGTGCTATATGACAGTAAAGAACAGACTAAAGGGAGGCTGTTTAGAAGATGACTTGAGTAGTCCATTGGAGGTGTTGGGTGCAGCAAAGAAGAGAATTCATCTAGTTAAGACTGTTGTAGAAGCACCTTTAGGTACAAAAGAGTCAGGAGCTTGGTTTGAGCTGCTTTAAATTTGAGGTCATTTGGACATTGAGTGGAGAATGCTTAGAGGTCCATGGCAGCAAAATACAAATGTATTTAGGGAGTTACTAGCATGCAGATAGTATTTACAGCCAGGAAACTAGAAGAGACCACCCCACCCCACCCCACCCCCGCCGCCCAAGGTCTAAGTATAGGTGGAGAAGAGAGGTTTAGGACTGGGTCAGAGATTGATGAAGAATAAGAATCAAACCCAGGCCTGCTAGTGCATTCCTCTAAGCAGGAAGCAGAAGCATTCAAGGCCAGCCTGGTCTACATAGAGTCATATGCCAACCAGAGCTGCAAGAGACCCTATTTAAAAAAACAAAGGCAGAGGCAGGCAGATCTCTGTGAGTTCAAGGCCAGCTTGGTCTACATAGTGAGTTCCAGGACAGCTGGGGCTACAGGGAGACCCTGTCTCAAAAAGACCAAAAAAAAATCATCTCTCAGGGCTAGAGAGATGGC